TTACGGGTGACTAGGAATAATATCAAAGCACATGATTCATATGTTGGATACCTTTACGATCTCAGGTCGAAGGACAATACATCTATAAGAAACACTAATGACATACATATAACGTTCCATGTAGTGTTCTTATGTGGGTCGGTCCGGTCCACAAGTTCTCTAACTTGTACCCGTATGTAGAATTCATATCACATATAAATTCTCAACATACGCTAGTCTTAATTTATTATTACAACCCGTCCGTAATAATAACCGACTAGGGACATTTAAGAATATACATATCAAATAAATATACACTAGGGTTATGTATATGTGCAAGCAATTATCTCATAATTATATATATATTGGAATAACCTCAATGTATATACATGACTACAATCATCCATAGATTGGCTTTTGGGCATATAACTAACACCTTTTTCGCATCCCAATCCCCCTAATTCAGCTCTGATTTGATCCTCCCGCGTAATCAACCCCTAATCAACCCAGAATCACTCCATTACTTGATGATTACTCCTCTATATCATTCCATAATTGATTGATTACACATTAACACCCATTTTGAGCAAAATCATACCAAAAACACAAAATCTAATCAAGAGATGATTTAACTCTGATTTTCCACGAAAATCAGTGCTAAAATTAACCTGCAAGAAATGTGTTAATGGGCTTATTAAACTCTAGAGAATTCTCATTTCATTGACTTGGTCCCCTAACTTTATTCCTAACCAAAAAGTAAATCATCTCATCATAATTGGATTGAAACTAAATAAGATAGCCCAAATAATGAAATAAAACATATTTTAGTTTAATAGATCTTAATATATATTTTATCCTAAGATTAAATTATCTCATTAATCCTAGAGTTCGAACCAAAATACATTAATTCTACTAAATTAAATTTTTACTATGCCTTAACCTAAGATCAAATCATCTCATTAATCCTAAGTTCAAACATGTTCGTAATCCAATTTTAGTAGAAAATACATGGGTCAAATTTGGGTGTTCACACACTTCTCCCAGCCTCTATAAATTGAAGGAAGGCTGAAGAACTCAAGTTAGAGCAGCTATTGCGAAATCTTGACGTTATACTATTTGAGTTACACTTGCAGTTCTCCAAAAGAGCCAAAATTGAGTGATATCTTCGAGGCTAGATTATTTAGCTTAATTGTACATCTTCTTGACATTGTCATTGAAGATTCCTT